TGCCCACTTTTCATTTGCCACACTGAATCTCACCCCAGCCTCCGTGGTGCTCTTACATTTGGTGACCACCAAGCTGATGCACAGCTCATTGCTGTTGTTTCAGACACTCCAGAAACACAGGCACAGCAATCATAACCTTGTTCACCAAAATGCTGCTGCCTTGCGCGAACAATTTTCTGTCACTAGGCAACAGGCATGTGACATTGTTAAAAATTGTCCGAACTGTGTTCCTTTCCTGCCTTCTCTTCCTATAAGAGTCAACCCTAGGGGCCTGGCCCCCAATCATATTTGGCGGATGAATATAACCCATTATGCCCACGTTGGACACCACCTTGCTGGGACCAGTTCAGTATGAACACGTTTCTCTGAGTGGGGAAGGCCGTGGATTAGAAATAGATGCAATAACAAACACACACAGACACACAGCATAGAAAAGCGAGGTTCGGGTGGGCACAGCTTCTCTGATGGAGAAGTTGCGACCAGAACCAGCCTCAGGTTTATTCTTTGAAAGAGCAGAAAATGGGGAGGAAATAAAATGCAAAAAAAGTAAAAAAATAAAATACAAAAAAAAGAAATCAAAAAGTCAAACCAATTATTTTAAAATATAAATCGTCTAAAAATATAAAAATAACTGGCACCACTTAATTTTTCTAATCTTTTTTTAAAAAACAATTTAATAAACACATGTAACTTCCTTTAGCCCAATACTGGGCATGTCAAAATATTAAATATCAACAACAACAACAAAATAACCATTCACAATACACAAATACTGCTTTTTGTATATAAATACTTCTCAATAACCCTACTAAAATAACCTACAAAAGCGTGTTTCTGCATGTGTCTACACGCCACATGTTTTCATCACATATTTTCAAATGGACTGCTCTCCACAATTCTTACGTGTTGTCCAAGACTTCCTTGACCTAGTTGAGGAATCCCATGGAAGATGGGGATGAGGTCGGTCAGACTGCGTTCTCAGGACATCTTGGTAGCTCCTGCCAGTCATTGCTTTTTCTGATATTTGCAGAAACTCTGTGGGTTATTCAAGGTTAATTGGAATACAACCTTATTGACATTATTCCCTTCAACAATTCCTCCATTGCTAGAAAATGAACTTGGACAGGAAAGCTCCTTGAATACTGGGTGAACATTTGGAAGAGGTGAACTTGAATTGCATGGAGATCAAATGGTGTTTGTTTTTACAATTGCCTTTTATTTAGAGTTTCTGGTTCAACTTTGCGAATGCTTCAGCCCTTTGGAAGAACGGAGGCATTGCACTATATGGAGGAGAGTAATATGCCAGCCCAGAGGAAGGAAGCACTGTAGTCAGTACTTAGAGATGCCTCTGAGGGTGTAGAGACGTGTATTGCCTCAGCAGCTCCACCAGCTCCAAGTCTCTCACTGCGGATCAGGTCTCCACGTCTCAGGCTCCTTAGCTGGAAGATACGTGTTATAATGGTGCCTGCATCTTAAGGTCGTGTTAATCATCAAACAAACTGAAGAACTAAAAATGGTTACAACAGTGCCAGGACAAGCAAGGGCTATAGTTAAAACTATGGAGAAAAGGGGGGACCAGCAGTTGGCATAATGGCTATGTCGCTGGACTCCTATGTAGTCGACCACAATTTGAGTCCTGGACCCAGTGGCTTAAACTCATGCTGGGCGTGTATGTGTGCATGCCCAAGATCCCAAGAAGAGAATGGAGGAGAAGGGACTGTGGCATGGCCATTCCCCTGGGGGGGTGATTTCTCACTTTCTGTCTCTCTGTCTCTTTGTCTTTCTGGCGGGCGCACACGCCCTATAGCAAAATCCTCTCCAAAAAAAACTATGGAGAGGAGAGTGTGAAGAAGTTGTGTGGAATAGAAAGCAAATTCTTTCCATGTAAGCCATATTTGCCTCAACCTAAAGTATGTTCATTTGTTTCTTTCTTTTAATTTGCCAGAGGGTGCATGTACTTATCAGAGATGGGGAGAGGAAGAGGGAGAATGTACCCCCCAGTGGAGCATGGTCACACTACAATCTCTTCTCCATCCTTTTGGGATTTGGAGCACCCATGCACATGGCTTGGCATGTTTTTCAAGCTGCATGACCAGGATTTGAACCGTGTGGTTAACCATGTGGGATCTTCTTCCCTTTATTATCAGGCAACAGAGCTAGCATGCACATTTCTTTTTTATTTTTTTTATTTTTTTAAGGTTTTGTCATAGGGCACATTCACTCGCCAGAGAGACAGAGGCAGTGAGAGGGAAAGTAAGAAATCACCCCCCGTGGAAGATGGCCATGCTGCAGTCCTCCTTCTTCCATTCTCCTCCTGGGATCTTGGACACACATGCATACACGCCTGGCATGAGTTTTAAGCCACTGGGTCCAGGACTCAAACCACAGTCTGTCATGTGGGAATCTAGCACCTTTAACTACCACACCACCTGCTGGTCCCTTCATGCCTCCTTTTAAGTGTTATTAAATAAGGCAAATATACCCACTGCTTTATTCAGTGAATGAAATTGACCTCCTATTATATAACCTGCTGTGTGTCCCAACATAAGGAGGACAATATAAACCTTATCAAATACAACCACTCCTGGGAACCAGCAGTTAGCGTAATGGCTATGTCGCTGGACTCCCACGTAGTCGATCGTGGTTCGCGTCCTGGACCCGGTGGCTTAAAACTCACGCCGGGCGCGTGTGCGTGCGTGCCCAAGATCCCGAGAGGAGAATGGAGGAGAAGGGATTGCGGCATGACCATCCCCCCTGGGGGGTGATTTCTCGCTTTCTGTCTCTATGTCTCTCTCTGTCTGTCTGGCAAGCGCACGCGCCCTATAGCAAAAATCTCTCCAAAAAAAAAAAAAAAATACAACCACTCCTCTTCGTAACCTACCCTTTTAGTGACTGCTTAGGCTTAGTAAGTTCCGCAGCATGGGGACTCCCCTTTCTCAGTCTGTGTGCGACTTGGGATCCCCCTTTTCTTGGTCTTTGTCTTGTTCCTGCAGGCAGGCCGTATTTTCGTAAGACTGAAATTTTCTTGTACTTTATCATGCACCCATAGCAGATTTCAGAGTAAATGAAAATGCTTACACCTATTTACATTACTGTGGTGTGTCTTGTTGCTTTCTGGTGTTTATCTAATGTCTGTTTTCTGTGGGGCACCATTATATTATTTTAGTGTGGTTTTACATCATATCTATTGAAAAATACATACCCTATGGCACCACGACACACCACAAGACATCCACCTTTCAGCTCCTCGCTTATCGACCAGTTTGCTTAACAAAGTCTTAGAACTGGGAACTCAGTCATTAAGTGAGGAGTGCCTGTGTACAGTCCTCAGATAAAGTAGCCTGATGTCACTCGACTGTCTTCTGCTTCAGCTGGGAATCCTGAAAGGAGAATGAAGGAAAAGGGATTGTGGTGGGGCCATACCCGTGGAGGGATGATTTCTCGCTTTCCCCCTCTGTGTCTCTCTCCCTCTGACGATCACACGTACCTTATGGCAAAAAATCTTTATAAAAGAGAAGTCAGTAGTAATAGTTGTCTTCTGTGTTGGCCCTTTGTAAGTTTTTGTGTTCATCAGCATTATAGGTTCTTCCTTCTGGCCCTCCCCGGGGGACATGGAATTTAGAGTGCTGGGCTTCTGTACCATTGCTCAGGCGTGAGGAAGCAGAACAGCTGCCCTGTGCACCTACCGTCTGGGAATGAGCCAGCCTCACATCCCTGGTCACCAACCTCACATTCGTTGATGAAAACACTGGCTAATAATCATTGCCTGAATTAGTAACTTGATAAAAGGTTGCAAAATGATCGCTTCCTGTCCTGGCGTTCCATCTACATTTAGGATTGGCGTTTTTTCTATAAATAAGAGCTTTTCCTCCTCGTCTTGAGTTACTTGCTTCCCTTGAATTGTAGATCATTCTTTAAAGCAGAAAAAAAAAGAAATACTTATCTTTTTTAATAATTTTCAAGAAAGGAATTGGTGTCATAGTGCTTCACTTTCAGTGTTTGACTGCAGATATTTAGCTTCCACTATGGCGTTCCCTTTAAATTCATGGGTTAAACAGAAATCTTGTGTGTGAGGATATTGACTTCCCTAACAGATTTGTTTCCGTGTATTTCCATGTTATACTTTTGTAGTTGATTTATAACTATATGTATCATGTATGGTTACAAAATGTAGTCTGGAACCAGCAGGTGGACTGGTGGTTAAGGCACTGGACTCCCACATAAAAGAAAAAATATAGTCTATGTTAAGTTTTAAAAATTGTTGAGGGGGTCCAGCAGTTGACGTAATAGCTATGTCTCTGGACTCCCATGTAGTTACTGCAGTTCAAGTCCCAGGCCCAGGGGCTGAAACTCACACCGGGCGTTTGTGCGTACACGCCCAAGAGCCCGAGAGGAGAATGGAGGAGAAGGGATTGTGGCATGGCCATCCCCCCTGGGGGCTGATTTCTCATTTTCTGTCTCTCTGTCTCTGTCTTTCTGGCAAGTGCATGTGCCCTATAGCAGAAACCTCTCCAAAAAAAAACAAAAAAATTTGTTAAGATGATCTTTGTAACCTAATATTATCATTCTTTTTTGACAGTTTCTTACAGTCTTAAAAACACATATTCCTATTCTTTTTATTGTATAAGGAGGGCTAAATGTTTTTTATTAGATCAAGCTTAGTAATACTATTCTTTAGAAAATTCATATTCCTATATTTTATCTTGTTGATGTATCAGTTTCTTAGATGTGCTGGAAATATCTCACAAGCGTTTTAGATTTTTCCAGTTACTACTACACTTTGTGGGTTCTGCTTTATATATTTTGATGCTGTTTTTGTGGCTTTGTAGCTTCATGATTATTGAATTGTCTTGTTGGATGGTAACAAAATCGCCTTTGCCCCTTGTGAATACTATTCATTTATAAAATGTGTTAATGATTAATTACAGTAGCATGTTTGGGTTGGTGTTTTCATGATGCATATGCCTGAGTTTTAAACATTTTGTGTTGTTTCGTTTCAGGTGTGTGTCTTATAAGCAGGATATGGCAAAATTTTAGGCCAGTCTGAGAGTCCTGTTTTTCAGTAAGTGAGTTTACATTTATATTTACCCTAATTAATAATGCATCTAGATGTATTTTTGCCATCATCTTTTGTGTTTGCTATTTCCCATACTTTTTTTCTCTTGTTCTTCCTACTGTTGACTCGATAGCTTGCTGTGTATCTCTGTATTTCTCAAGCAGTCTGGAAGATACATCCCCCCACATCTGTTCTTTCAGAGGTCACTTAAACGGTTAATAAATACTGTTAACTAAAAATTTTAACCAGATGTTGAAGTGTATCAGGAGCTCCTTATTTCTTCTGAACTAGCTAAGAACATTAGCATATTTTCATTTTCCTCTGAAACATCTTTTTACAGTTACCATGTCATTTTTTTATCTAGTATTTTAATTTCACTCTCTTACCACATTAAAAAAAATAGTTTATGTTCTTACCCTTTCTCTTTTTTCTTTCTTCTTATCTCTGTGTATCAATGTTTTCTGTTTTTTAATAACCTTGCTTGCCTTTGTTGTGTGCGTTGCTTCTCCTCCTCCAGCTGCAGTTTTTTAATCAAATTGCTGTACACCCTTCGGGATTTCTTTTAGCAGGTGTTTGTGTCTTTTATATTAGTAAGTTCAAGTCCGTTTAAAAAAGTCTTCATTTTACCTGAATCCTCTAAAATGTATCTATGAAATAGGTACAATAAAACCAGCTCACCTGCTGCACAGGGTTATTGGGTAACAGAATAATAACACTGGTTGTTTTCTTCCTCCGTCTGCGTCTCTGTCTCTAGTAAGTGCATACATCCTCTGGCACTTATGTAAACTGTGGGGGCCAGCAGGTGGCGTGGTGGTTGAGGTTCTGGACTTCCACGTGGCTGACTGCAGTTCAAGCCCCAGACCTGGGGGCTTGCTTTCTCACTCGTTCTCTCTCTCCTTCTTTCTCCTTCTCTTTCTGGTGAGCACCCATGCCCTCTAACAAATTTGAAAATAATGATAAATAAAATTAAATAAATAATTCTAAAATTAAAAAAATTCTGCTTCTCAGGAATTCATTAGTGGATGTCAGGGTTGGGAGAGGCAGAGGAATGGTGGTCAGCATTCATGCATCAGCGTTGTCTTCAGAGAATGGGTGGGAGCAGATACCAGCAGAGTGCTCCTTAGCAGTGTTCTGTTTTGTTTGTTTTAGTCACCCCCTAAGGCCTTTATCAGGGAAGTGGAACTGCGATAGGGTGACACAAGACACTAGTTGATGAGATGACTTAGTTATATGTGACAAGTCTCGAATCTGCAGCAGTTTTGAATACCAACAGCCCTTTTTCCATAATGAAGTCATGAATTATGAATTCTGTAGACAAGTAGGATTTTTATTTTTTATTGGCAAAGAGTATGTGCATTTGCCAGAGAGAGAGAGAGAGAGAGAGAGACAAAGAAAGAGCCAGAAAACTCCCCCTAAGGGGGCATGATCACACCACAGTCCCTTCTCCATGTCTTCATCCTGTCGTCATTTGGGGAGCACGCGCCTGGCATGCGTTACCAAGTCACTGGAGGCAGGATTCAAACTACAGTAGACATGTGAGACGTGGCTTCCTTAACTAGAGGACCCATGGGGCCAGCACCACAGTAACTATTTTAACACTTTGTAATTGCTAGAGGACACACAAGCTCACCAGAAAGAAGACACCCTCCCTGCAGGGGAGCTCAGTCATACCGCAGTCATTTTTTTCATTTCTCCCTCTCATCAGGATTTGGGACATGCATGCACACACACCTGGTGTGTTTTTCAAGCTTCCAGGGCTGGGATTTGAACTGCAGTCAGCCCTGTGGGATCTGACTCCTGATGTAATGCACTGGCAATGCATTGTGGATCAACCCAGTGTTATAATATTTTATTTCAACATATATTTCTAGTTCAGAAAGAAGTAGGGACTCTTCGCTCTTCCATTCTTTGACCCCTAACCTCCTGCCCTGTCGATAAATAATGCAAAGTTTCTTATATCTCTTACAGACATTTTGAACATTAGTTTTGATAACTACCTACTACTGAATGTTCAGTTGGTGAAACTGAATGTCTTTCACTCAGAAGGAATAAATCAAAGAGAAGGTAAGAAATAGAAAAAAAATGTATTTATGGCTTTGAAATGTACTTTTCTTTAAGGAAAATCAAGATGATTTCTTTAGGATAATCCCTTTTGACGATTATAATCAATTTAGAGGACGCTATGAGGGTGGAAGAGATGTCAGCGACAGAACGACCGCTGGCACTAACAGCCCCTCCTGGTTGACTCACAGGCCAGAGGGTGTGTGTTACCCCTCATTCGCTCTGCGTTAGTCTTCAGCATAGAGACAGGAAGCTGAGGCGCCTCCAGTGTGATGTACCCACGCATCTCGGCCGGTAAAGGACCGGCTGGAGTGTGAGCTCTCGTGTCTCTGCCATAGAACCACCTGTCTCAGGGGACCCGCAGTGTGTTCTGGCCAGCCCTTTAAAGGTCATTTTTTTTTTTAGTTTTTTTGTTTGTTTGTTTGTTTGTTTGTTTGTTTTTACCAGAGGGCACATGTGCTCATGAAGAGAGACGGAAGAGAGGGAAAGTGAGAAATCACCCCCATGGGGATGGCCACGCTGTAGTCCCTTCTCTCTCGGGATTGAAGACTTCCCCTGCCCTTGGACTAGACTGTGGCTTCTCTTTTTGCTGCTGCTTCATTTTCTTCATGTGCCTATGAGCAAGAGATGTCGTAACCGTAGTCACATTTGGAAACCTGGCTCACAGAACACATAACCTTTGTTAACTCTTAAAATTCGAGTTGCTGCTTGTAGTTCCTACGTTGAAGAACAGCAGGGCCTCCATTGCCTGGGGGCAGTTTTCAGTGGTGCCCCTACTCGGGAAGTCACCTTCTGTTTGGCCAGAATGTGTCATGATAACCCACTGGTGCGGATGAGACGTAAAGCTGCCGTCCGACAGTCATGGGAATGGATGCCCACGTCGCAGTGGCCATGGTAGTGCCTCTGAGGGTTGTGCAGGGCCCAGCAGCCAGGCGAGGAGAAAATGGACGCTCGTTACCTTTATAATTCGTATTCTAGGACTGTTCTGTTGCGGGCTTTCCAGGGACTGGCTGGGTGTGGCTCTAGGGGTAGTTGAGGGCAGGAGGCCAAGGGAAGGACCTGCACCTCATTCTTACACACTTGGAAATAGCGTGGCAGACCTAGTGCCCACTGCACTCCTGCTATGACCTCTTGTGAGAAGAATGTTCTGTACGAAAAAGGTCACAGACTTTAAGTGGAGAGGCAAGGCACATATACGTGGCCGCTTGTGAGAAGAATGTTCTGTATTAAAAAGGTCACAGCCTTTAAGTGGAGAGGCAAGGCACATATACGTGACGTCAATGGGGAGAGTTCGTTACACGTTCCCGCGCATCATGCCAGAGCGTTAGAGATGGAGAAGGTTATTGTGCCAGAAGTAATCAGAGCAGGTAAGACATGGCCAGGTGGAGAGGGCAGGGAACCTCGAGAGCTGTCGCATTCGTTTTTTTGTTGTGTTTTGTTTTGTTTTTGCCAAAGGGCACATGTTCTTGCTAAAGAGTTGGGTAGAAAGCACCCTCCATGGGAGATGGTCACAGACAATCCCTTCTCCATCCATTTCTCCTTTCTGGACTTTGGACATGGTGCACAGACTCCTGGTGTGTTTTTCAAGCTGCCAGGTCCAGGACTTGCATTGTAGTCAGCCATGTGGGACCTAGCTGCCCTACTGCAAGCTGGCCCAAGCTTATATATATTTTTTTCATTAAAAATTTTTTTTTAATTTTAATGTTTGGTTTGTTAGGGTACACAAACTCATGAGAGAGAGAGACAGAAAGAAAGAAAATGAGAAAGTACCCCCCCAGCAAGGATGGCCAAAGTGTAATTCTATCTCCTCCATTCTCCTCTCAGGATATTGAGCGCACATGCATATGCACCCAGTGTGTTTTGCAAGCCCTCGGAGTCCTAGACATGGTGACCATGTGGGATCCATCCTCTTAACCACCCAAGCCTTGTGTTTTCATATGTGTTAAGAGGTAGAAGAGCTGTTTTCCCAATCTTTATGTGGACCCAAGGCAGCACCATCGGTAGCCCTGTTTGCCCACTCTGACTTAATGTTCACCCTTCAGAGCAAACAGTGGATTCCCAGTGGCCGCCTCTAGATGACAATGAGTGAAGAGCACCTGCCAGACGCCTTCTCAGCCCACTCCCTATGTGTTGGCCTGCCCTGACACCAGTTGGCTAGCGCTGGCTGTAAGCAGTCTGTACTGCGCTCCATGCCACGTTTGTGCAGTGTCTCAGCATTTTCTCCTCCTCCCACCTTCTGCTTCCTTTGGTCTCTTCCCTGCCTGGTGTAGTCAGTGGATATAGAGGTTGTCCAGAAACTGAAGCATAAGTATCCTTACACAGACGGGCTCATGGTGCCACAGAAGACTGTGGTATCCGGCACAGGGCAGAGGCCCCACTGTCACGCCACAGTCTGAGTGCTCTGTGTCATGGGCTCTGTTTTCCTGTCTCAGCTGGAGGTTCTGTGTAAAAACACGTTCTGGGAGTTCCCATTCTCCAGTTCTGATCTGGAACGTGGCACCCAAATACTCTGAATGGGAAACTGAAAACTCTGTACTGAAGGCAGGCCTTTCGTGTAAGCACTTGCTCTCCAGACCGAGCTGTGAGTTCAGCCCACCGGAGAGACAGGGGCGGGTGGTGTTGGAGCCTGTCCAGGCCGTTTCACAGTCTGAGCATCTACAGACAGAAGAGATGATGGTCCTGTTATGTCCAGAGAATTCACCTTCCGGTGAAGAGTCTCCACCTTTGTGCTATCCTGAGCTGCTGCCATGAATAATTACTGCTATGGGGGTTTTCCTGCTTCAGATTTACTCACTCCATATGAGATCTCACAGTTGCAAAGGACCCCGGGGGCCCTGGTTTATTTGGACATGCTGCTGGTAATATCTCCTTGCATTACATCCTTTATTTCTTTTTTTCATAGTGGTAAAAAAAAAAAAGACAAACTATTTTGTTTGTTTTTATTGCAGATTTTTTTTAAAACCCTCCATTATCTCTCTTCCTGTCTCTCTGGCCATCTAGGATAAGCTCCTATTTCATAGTAACCAGTCCTTTGTGTAGAACAAGAAGCAGCAGGTTTTCTCGACTAATCAGAAACTACGTGTGAACCTTTGTCTTGATGTAAAAAAGTTAAAGTTCAGTTTCGGTTGTCGGTACCCATTTGCGTAGCTACACCTAGTAAAGTCGGCCCAGACCCAGGTCGGAATTTCTGGGCTTGCTCGAGCTTTGGCTCTGCTCTTCCTCCTGGAATAGAAAAGCAGCTGTCACTCGACAGTGCATTTTGGTTAAGGGAATACTAACCTGATCTTGTGAAATCTTCCAGCTCCTGCAATTCGTGTGCTTCCAAGCGGCTGTGGATGGCCCTGGCTCCCTCGACCGTCCTTCCAAGTAGGATGTCACTGAGGTCCCTCAAATGGAGCCTGCTGCTGCTGTCTCTCCTGAGTTTCCTGGTGATGTGGTACCTCAGCCTTCCGCACTACAATGTGATCGAACGTGTGAACTTGATGTACTTCTACGAGTATGAGCCCATCTACAGACAAGACTTCCGCTTCATGCTCCGAGAGCATTCCAACTGCTCCCATCAGAACCCCTTTCTGGTCATCCTGGTGACCTCACACCCCTCCGATGTGAAAGCCAGACAAGCCATTAGAGTTACCTGGGGGGAGAAAAAGTCTTGGTGGGGATACGAGGTCCTCACGTTTTTCCTGTTAGGCCAGCAGGCTGAAAGGGAGGACAAAATGTTAGCCCTGTCCTTAGAGGATGAGCACCTTCTTTATGGTGACATAATACGGCAGAATTTTTTAGACACATATAATAACCTGACCTTGAAAACCATCATGGCGTTCAGGTGGGTGACTGAGTTTTGCCCCAACGCCAAGTACGTCATGAAGACAGACACTGACGTTTTCGTCAATACCGGCCATTTAGTGAAATACCTTTTAAACTTAAACCATTCAGAAAAGTTTTTCACAGGCTATCCTCTAATTGATAATTATTCCTATAGAGGATTTTATCAAAAACCTTATATTTCATACCAGGAGTATCCTTTCAAGGTGTTCCCCCCCTACTGCAGTGGGCTCGGTTACATCATGTCCAGGGATTTGGTGCCAAGGATTTATGAAATGATGGGGCACGTAAAACCCATCAAGTTCGAAGATGTTTATGTTGGGATCTGCTTGAATTTATTAAAAGTGGACATTCATATTCCAGAAGACACAAACCTTTTCTTTTTATACAGAATCCATTTGGATGTCTGTCAACTCAGACGTGTGATCGCAGCCCATGGCTTCTCCTCCAAGGAGATCATCACATTTTGGCAGGTTATGCTGAGGAACACAACTTGCCACTATTAACTTCAGTTCTGCCAGTGCCTAGGGAGGACAGGATGCCTGGGGCGTGTCAAAACCCATGGGAAAACCCACGGCAAGGTCAGTGTTCTGGCTTACACTGAACTGAAACTCACGAAGAACCCCGGGGATGGAGGCTGGAGGGTTACACTTCGGTTGTGACTTACTTTGACACAAACACATCAAGTCAGGCCCTTTAAAGAGGATGTCGAGAGGAATTAAATATCTTAGAAAGGTATTGGAGGGTTTTGTTAATAAAAACTTAATAGGCCAAACAGTTTGGGACATATCATTCTGTAGACTAGAGTTTCTTAAAAGGATTTCACCGAATTACAAGTTCATTAGTACATAACAGCAAAGCAGTGTGGAATTGTATTAGTGAACAAGCTAGTCAATTAAGGGTTTTGTGTCTATTACACATGAATTACTAATTTAAAAATATAGATCGTTCTGTGTGAAGAACTTCACTGGAGTTATACTGAAAAAATCTCATTGTTTTTGGTCATTTAAAAGGTGTTTCGAGATGTCAGTATTTCAGAGTTATTATTTACAGTTACTTAGACCTTCTGGATATTTACATGTTATGGTGGTTTCAGTACTGTATAAATGGAGTAGTGAATCGTTCTTTACATTTGAACTTTGTTGTGATTATTTAACTGATCAGTCTATTATTGATAGCCCCATCAAAGTAAAGTTATTGGTCATTTTTACATATCAGAAATCTCTTGGACTTGGTTAAATATTTTACTGTGGTAATACAGAGAACTAAACCAAGAAAATCTGAACTCTAGTCTTGTTTTAAAACTTACGATCTTCCGTGTTTTTAGATGTCACTTCATCTGTCTTGTTTTTATACCTGGAAATTAGGAATAATGTCGAAGGCCTAGGCAGTGTGTTTCCAAAGGAAAAAGCGCTGAAGGAATAAAGAAGGGAGAGCAAGCGCCTGGTGGCCGGACTGTTGGGAACAGAGGGTGTATTCCAGTATTTGAGTTGTAAAGAGGACTGAAGATCCAAATTCCATTATGAGTCTATTCCATGTGTTTTCTCATTACTGATCAGTTTGTGAATAAAAAGGAAAAGAAAAAAAAAGAAAGCTATTGCTGTTACTTGTTTCTCATTGGGATGAAAGCTGTGGTCCCGCCGTAGTAATGTACAGATCGTGCCACTGTCTGGGAGGCTGGAAGCTGTGGGGGAGGCCCTGGGTTCAGTTCCTGGGTCAGCCTGAAAACCCAGGTACAGTTGTCTGCACTAATGGGGAGGCTGGACTCGGAGGGTCGCAACCAACACACTGGCAGAAATACCTATCCCTGTCTCCCCTTAGCTCTCTCCTCTTCTTCTCTCATTAAAAAGAAAAAAGAAAAAAAGTCCTAATATGCAATCTAAAGTCAGATCTGACCTAAAGTCTTATAGAAGGACATTTCTTCACAGAAGTGGTGATGTATCTTTGACTATTGAACTGCTATTCAATAGTCAGTAAAAAAGAAACATTCCTTGCCCCTTATATTCCTGGGATTACACAGTTCTCTGTTAGAGTTCAGTCGGGACAAGTGGTTCCTCTTTTCTAAATGACTTGATGGCAAAAGATCAAATCCTTTGGTAAGAAATGTGAACTTGAAAGTATGTAGTCAGCTCTTGTAATACTCAGGTGTTTACAGTTGCCCATACTTAACAACAGTTATACTCTGTGGTTCTCTGTAACAAGGCTACTTCTGTTTTCTCCAGCTCAGACCTCTCCAGTTAGGATAAAATCAATTAAATTAAATATTCTCTGGGCTCCACGTGTACCCTTGCTCATTTCCATCCACACAGGAGCCACTTTTTCAGACAAAGAGTGGTGGTTATTTTTGTGGTATGATTACATTTGACTGTTTTTGCAGATGATTGTATTGATGTTTGAGAAGAATTTTCAGAGAGTACTTTTAAAATAATTATTTTAAAATTCCCCTTTGTTTTAAGAAAAATACCAGAAAAAAAAAAAAAAAAGATGTTGGGGCCAGCCAGTGGCATGGTGGTTAAGGATGCTGGACTCCCACATAGCCGACTGCAGTTCGATTCTCGGACCTGGTAGCTTGTTTTCTCCCTCGTACTCTCTTGCTATGTCCTTCTCTGGTCAAATTAAAGTAAATAAATAAGTAAATAAATAAATAAATAAATAAAATAATTCTTTTATAAAAAAGATGTGAATAATTACCAAATTTCACAATTCTTTCTGAACTAAAGATTTGTGTTCAAAAGAGCTCCAAAAAGTGAAATAATGATGAAAACATAAAGAGGATGGGTCATTATATTTTTTGTTTATAGCTACATGAGTTTTTTTTCTTTTTTTTTTTTTTGGAGAGGTTTTCGCTATAGGGCGCATGCGCTTGCCAGAAAGACAGAGACAGAGATAGAAAGCGAGAAATCACCCGCCAGGGGGGATGGCCATGCCGCAATTCCTTCTCCTCCATTCTCTTCTCGGGATCTTAGGCAGGCATGCACACTCACCCAGTATGAGTTTAAGCTGCCAGGTCCAGGACTTGAACTGTGGTCGACTACATGGGAGTCTAGTGACATAGCCATTACGCTAACTGCTGGTCCCTAGCTACGTGTTCTTAATAATCAAGTTCTCCAACGGTAAATATTAGCGCTATTACTGAGCGGGACCCCTGGTGTTTAATCAAATCAACGGCTGTGACAAGGTTTAGTACAGGAGGCTGCCCTTAGGCTGATTGCCTCCCATCTGCCACCACCCTGCCACCCACAGGGGCTGGCTCACTCCCGGCCTCACTCATTCACTTTGTCCGTGACTCCCAGCATATATTTAGTTAGCTTTTTGCTAGGTTCTGACTCAAATCTCAGAGACCGATGACACCACGTTTTTGTTTAATTCACGTGGCGTGGCATGGTTGTCAGCAACTGGCTTCAACCCTGTTCTGTGTGTCTTCTTATCCCAGGACCCAGGCTGAAAGGCGGCCCTTGTCTGGAACATGCTGTTCTTCCAAACAAACAAACAAACAAAAAACCAAAACAACAACAACAACAACAAAAAACATGCTGTTCTTATACAAGGAAGGAAAAAGGAGTTGATGGAGGACCGTGGCATGTACCTTTATCAGCCCAAACATATCTTGTGCCGAGCCCCGTGTCGGTGGGGTGGGGACGTGTGTTCCTCTCCCAGCGTCCCTCGAACATGCAGGTTGTGTTGCAGCAGCAGGCATGCATTGGTCCACGGACCTGGGTGCAGCACCGCAGTCTGCCATTCCTCGTGTGCCAAAGGGAGATGGGGCTCCAGGGCTGTGGTTCTGAGTAGGCCCAAGTAGATTAGAGTTTCATGGCTCACTTAGAATTGGTGCTTTGGGCTTTGGGCTCTCCCTGAGAGGTCTTCCTTTCCCCCTCTTTAGTTGTCCCTAGACTCCACCCTCCATGGTCTGGCATTGTCGTTGCCCCATCAACTCCCCAGACACAGAGCAGCCAGAGCAGGGAGCAGGGCCATGTATAACAGAGAAGTACTGAGCATGAGTGGGGTGAAGCCCTTTCTTCTCAGAGTCTGGTAGGCAGTTGTGCAGGATGGAAAGAAAGGCATAGGCAGGAGTCCAGCTCGAAAGGGGGAAAAGGGGAAAGATGTGGCAAGCCCAGCCTGCCGTCTTTGGTATTCTTACAGACTTTAGCTCCCCAGGAATTAACCTTTATTATTAAATCTGCTCTTCAACTCTCATTGGGACTCCTTCACACTTGCCATCAGCTGTCTGATCAGCCCACGTGTCATTCATATGGGGCCAGATCTTCAAGGAATCTGTCCAAATAGGTGACTTGCTGGGAACCAGCAGTTAGCGTAATGGCTATGTCGCTGGACTCCCACGTAGTTGGCCGCAGTTCGCATCCCAGACCCGGTGGCTTAAAACTCACGCCAGGCGCATGTGCATGCGTGCCCAAGATCCCGAGAGGAGAATGGAGGAGAAGAGATTGTGGCATGGCCATCCCCCCTGGGGGGTGATTTCTCGCTTTTTGTCTCTTATGTCTGCCTGTCTGGTGAGCGCACGCGCCCTATAGCGAAAACTTCTCCAAAAAAAAAAAAATAGGTGACTTGCTGATGGGGGTGTGTTGATGGAAATGGAAGCCAAGGGGCAGTTTGTGCCCAAGTCATCTCAGGGGCCTCATAAGGACAGAGAAGGGCCCCACAAGGATGGAGATGATCTCTGTATTTAGGCTGAGTGATAAAGAGAGGCATGAATGCAGTCTTGGACAGTCTTTGAGTCCTGAGTGGGGTCAACACAGCCAGGGTTAGATCAGTGCAGAGAGAGACACTAAAAACCATCTTGTTCATGGTTTCTAGGGCTTCCCTGTAACAATGAAAGAGTTGGAGAAGTTTATGTACTATTTTCAATACTCCAAAAACTATGCAGAATCTATACATTTACTTAAGGTAACTGCCCCAGCTAAGAAAATAGGCTGGAATATAATCTTCAACAGTGGTCATGGTCAACGTATGCTGGATAAAAGCCTAATTGTGAGGTTTTTTGTTTGTTTGTTTCATTAATAAAATGGAGACTAAATGATAAGTTAGTAAAGTACAGAGTTGTGGATGATAGCTCCTGGAGAAGGGAGAAGGATGGTAGAAGGGATTTTTTTTTTGTCAGAAAGGCTTGGCAACTCCTGTCCTTTGACCTGAAGGCACTGGGATTCAGTGGGGCCACTCGAGTCATCCAAGGCCATTGTCAAGCCAGAACTAGAATGTTGCAGGCTGGCCTCACTACTCTGAGCTACAGTGCCCCGAGTTTGTCTGGAGCACTTTAGGAGGAAGTATGGAAACTTCCAGAAGGAGGTACTCGTGGCTCAGAAATGAGAGGAACTTCAAGTGCCAGGCTGCAACCTCCGAAGCACTTGAGGAAAGCTGTGGCCACCAGACGTCTGGGGGAAGTCACTGGTGGGCAGCAGCGAATCAAGCGCAGGGCAGTGACTCCATGCAGTGGGTTCCTGAGTGGCCCCAGCAGAAGACTGGGTCTCTGACGGCACCACACAAAGCTCACAGCCTGTGCATTTTAGAAGACAAGTGCGTCCTCAGTGAGCGTGACTAGGGTGCAGCAGCTGCGGTGACAGTTTGAAATGCCACTCTTTGCCCTTCACAGTACGTAGGTAGAGGCTGTACAGAAGCAGGTGCTTGCTCAGGGGAATGCTGGGCCGGTGCAGGCATCCAGGAGGTGCAGTCCAGGCTCCGGAAGGGAACAAGAGCCAAGAGCAGCGAGACAGCTCCCCAGGGGAGCCAGGGCCTTTGTGCCCCAGAGTTCCCCTCGCTTCCTACATTTTTTATGAGAAGTACCAGTTATCTGGAGAAAAGAACACAGTAAAATACTACTCTAGTTCCCAGGCCATCGGTAACGGGCCATTTCAGAACCCCCCTGATAGAAAAACTGAAATGGGTTTACCGTCTGAACTGCAGGTTCCCAAGCCAGGCTACCTGGTTTGTTTTTGTTTTTTAAGAATTATTTTATTTAACTTTATTTATTGTAATTTGACCAGAGAGGGATAGAGTGAGAGCAAGAGATAGATAAAGCAAGCCACCAGGTCCGGGACGCAAACTGTGGTCAGCCAGGTAGGACTCCAGCGTCCTTAACCACCACGCCACCTGCTGACCTGGCTTGGGTTTTAATCAAGGCTCCTTTATGACCACTAGGTGACCTCTGGCGTCGGCAAGTCCCTTTACCTTTAATGCACCTCCATTTCTTTTCCTACAGAAAAGCCATTAACCCATGTCATAGTCGTTTACACATAGTCGCTGCTATCAGTTATTGTTTTTATTTTGTTGTTTTTGTTGAAAACCTGTATTTTGGGCCAGCCAGTGGCATGAGAGTTAAGGCAGCTGGATCCCAGATGGCTGCACAGTTCAAGTCCCAGACCTGGCGGCTTGAAAAATACACCAAGTACAGGTGCGTGTGTCCTAAATCCTGAGAGGAAAATGGAGGAGAAGGGATTGTGGTGTGGCCATCCCCCGACGGGGGTGTTTTTTTCACTTTCTCTCTCTCCCTCTCTGTCTCTCTCTCTAGCAAGTGCATGTGCCCTATAGCAAAAAAGAAAAAAGAAAAAAAGAAAAGCTGGATTTGGACTTCGGGAG